ACCAGCACGAGTGGCAATGAAAAAGAGCTCACTCGTAAGCCCACAAAAAAGTGGCATGATCGTCATAAGATATCGTCCCAGTAATCCGGTTCATATCGTTCTGATCAACGGCGCCTTGCTCTGCCTTGACGAAGACACTGCGAGACGTTTTAGACAGGTTGTCTGAAGTAATCTGGTCATCCTCCTTCTGAGATGTCCAAGAGGGGTCTTTTGAGAGGTTATGGATAGTGTGGAATGACCCATCGGAGAGGATTACCACGAGTATGTCTCGTAGCCGAAGGTAAACAATCCCCGACACTTGATGGAATGCGGATGAGACTGCGGATATCTTTTGTGTCTTGATTAAGAGAGAACGAGATCCCGTCCAGCCGAATTCTTCGCCAGCTACAGTCCAGAGGTGCACGATTCCAGGTTTGCAGACGACCAGAATGGGCTGTGTGTGCAGAATGAATCAAAGGTCAGAAGCTTGGAGAAGGGCAGGACTCACGCCTCTTCCAACGATGTCCACCCATATCAAGGCCGTAATTCCAGTTTTATCAGGACCAAATAGTAATTCCGGGCCGCGTTCAACGGTAACCTCCAATACAAAGTTTTGAGCAAAATGGAATTCTCCATCTGTTTCTTGTAGGACCTGGGTGATCTTGATAAGACCCACAGAACCGTCGGCACTTCCATAAGCGATGTATCCTTCGCCTGAAACAGTCGGTAACTCTGGAAATTTCTGAGTTCACGGACTCACAAACACCGGGGGATGCGAGGCTCCATGCAGATGGCGCTAGTTGTGTTATCCACCTGTCTGCGACTGAAATAGTGTGAATGTGTTCAATCTCTTTGTGAGCGTGGTACCTAGGCCGGAATAAGCATGACGCACAGGATTTCATCGATAAACTAACCGGAGAAGGGTGATAGAACCTGCTCTGCTGCCGATTACGAGAAAAGAGCTGTTCACCAAGGGCGTCGGGCAAACGTTGAAATTGGCAAAAGGAGTCCAAGCCACGCCTCAATCGGCGAATCAGACGCGGGATCAGAATTTTTGGCTAAAAACACGTACTGATGACCTGTGATTTCAGAATATCTTCGGATGGGTGAGTCTCCAGAAGAAATGGTGTGACGTCGGCGGCCTGCTTTGGGTTAGTTGTAACACAGATCCGAAAGGACGGTATAAACTTTCGGCCATTCTCCTTTCAGATAATTCTTTCCGGCAACCCAGAGAGTGAGGTCCATGTTAGAGCTGAGCATTGCTAGGACGCAGCTTGAAGTGACGTTCGTTTAATGTCTTCTAGATCGGTAAGGGGGTGACGACATACCCGCCATCGGAGGACAAACCGCTTGGTGAAATTGCTACTGACGAGGGTGACAAGTCGATTGACCCCAGGGATGCAGCGCCCCATGCTAAATCAGAAGGATTGATCAGCTCAGAGAAAGTGGTCAAGTTGGCAGTATAGCGCGGAACCTTGAGAATGATCAGGCCACCGAATCCCTTCAGACTTGTCAAACTGAATAATGGTTCTAAACCACCCCAGCGCTTGAGAGTCTTCGCGACTTTCTTTGTTCAAGGAAGACTTGATCACGGAGGTATTGTCAAAGTTGATTCCGTGATCTGGGGTCTACGCACATGGAGTCAATTTTCCGTTCAACAAATATTTTTGATAACGACTCACAAGGATGTAAATCGCGGTTTTTGTCACGAAACATAGTTGCCCATCAGAAGACCACTGGAGGCAATTCACAGAGGGGTAGGAAGTAGCCGTTGGGACATTGAGCGCGCTGGAGACAAGCGGTGCCGTGGAGGAAGGTGGCGGAACGGAGGTCATCAAGTATTCCAAGTATTCCTTTCGGTTGACAAAGTCCTAGAAACCCAAAGACATCCCAAGTTTGCAAACCAAACGCAAAGTTAACCGTCGGACAAGAACCAGAGTGATGCCGCCTGATGGAGTTTGGGAAGACGCGCCCTTTGGCGCTTTAGATTTTTATGTTTGGCGCTGTCCTCGAAACCTCACAGTCTCATCTCCTCCGCCAGGCTCCAGGATCCAGCCAAATTGCAGCTCGAAAAAATGGCCAAAGGCTCCAAGAAAAGGAAGCAAGGGCCAGAGAAACCTCAGCCGGTTTTGAAGAAACTAAGGCAGGATGTTGTACCAACCGCCGTTGAAGCTGACCCGTCGAACATGATCGGCAACCTGCTCTTCCTCGATGAACTGGAAACGACGACCGAAACTCTGACTCTGCTTGCTCAAAACCCTGGCTTGATTGGATCAAAGGTGTTGAAACCGTTTAAGACTGCAGTACATGACTACTGGCGAGTAGCTCATGAGACAACGAACACAGGTGAGCACCCGTTCATCATCACTCTACAATGAATTCTAATTTTAGTGAGAAGGAAGTTCATTGACGTCAAGGATATCCTCCGCACTTGTTGACCAGCGCCACGTCGATGCTCTCGTGCTATTAGCGGAGATGGTCATCCGGGAACAAATGCCGAAATTGGGAGCCTTGCAGCGATGGGTCAGAGAGTGCGATGCCGTTTTGACACCAAACATGTTACAGAAGGACGAAAGTCGGGTGTGGCAGGTTCTCGATTCCATCTTGAGGACTACGCAGCCCGAGATGATCTCGAAGAACCAAGAGGAGGGTGGGGTGTTGAAAGAAGGAAGTCGATTGCGATGGTACGAGCCATTCACGGTGAAGCCTCCTCCCGGCCGTGAGGGCGGCTCGATAGACTCGGACATCATAGCGGAGAAAGCGGCCCTCGTGTTGAAGCCGCTTCAAACTACCCCAGGTCCAGAGCGGCGACCACCTAACAAGCACCCTGCTGTGATCTTCTATTCCCCACCTAATACATTTCCTCTCCTCCCTTCATCCGAACGGACACGACATCCGCAACGACACGAGCTTCCTGGTGTGCCTGGTGCTTTCATCATCAACGACGTGTTTGAGTCAACCGAGTGTGAATCCCTCGTCAAGGCAGCTGAGAAAGTTGGGCTGCTCCCTGATGAACCTATCGCAGGATCGGCGGCGCAATTGGCTTCTGTTCTTGCTCACAATCTTATCTGGTTGGCGGACACGGAGTTTATTGGTACCCTTTACGACCGCATTGTCGACCTCTTACCGCAGATAGTCCACGGAGGCGCAGTCAAGGGAATCAACGCACGCTTCAGATTGTATCGCTACCGACCTGGAGCCTTGTATAGGCCTCACGTGTGTGCCAACATTCGTTTGTCCTGTTTCGCGCTAATGTCACTTCCAGATTGACGGGGCATGGCCAGCTTCTGCGCTGAACGCCACGACCTCGCCGCATTCATATGTCTACGATTCAGATCCGACGGTGTACTCGCGCCTCACACTGCTTATATACCTCAATGACGACTTTGAGGGAGGTTGCACAACTTTTTTCTTGCCATCGTCTACGCAAGGCATTCTAGAAGCTCGGCCTGTTAAACCGCGCACAGGGACGGTCTGTGTCTTTCCTCATGGGGCTGCGAAGGGGAGTTTGTTGCATGAAGTAGGTTGAATCTTTCTTCCCTGTGCCCTACAAGTCACTGAGGCCATTCTTATAGGGAAGTGGGGTTACTTCGGGAGCGAAGTATGTCATTCGGACTGAGGTATTGTACGAGGTTGATAAGAGTGAACGAGTTGATGCGTTGAAGGATTGAAGGTTCGTGCGAGTCATATTGCTTAAACCCAGCTTACCATCTAACAGGTATCAAATGTATCATAGCAACACATCTGTATCATAGACATTCTTCGGGGATTGTTTTTGCAAACCTATCTCTTAAACACATCCGGAAAATGCCCAGTAGACACCTGTCTACAAGCCGCCCCATTCAACCCGATCCGTGTTGGGATGCAGCCAGCACTTTGCAGACAGCCCTGGCAGCCCTTGACCTATGCTAATGAGATTAGCGTCGTGCTCCTTAACTTTGGACCAACCCTTGCGAACACTTGCCACAAAATCGAGTTAGGTGAAAATGCATATCGGTCTCTTGGGAGCTGGGTGTTTCCTTCAGAGGCATTTACAAGTAATTACGGATCCGCATTCTGTGAGGGGTTTGCCATCTGAGTTGTGTCATAGCTAACCTAGATAATTCCGCCTATCCTACTTTGTACAAAGACATTCCCTTCAGCCGCTCCACCGACTTATTCAAGGCATTGCCTCTTTGTATGTCCAAACAACACTGCGGGCCCTGGCTTATATATCCACTGGGTATAATGTGGAAAAATGGAGTAGATATTAATCATAATGTCCCCTTTTATCTACCGGAATTAGTTGAAAGATATTTACAATCTTTTATTTCATTTTATCAATTTTTTTCTGTCGGAATTATTAAGAATTTGTGGGGGTGGATAAATGTCGAAGATATTGGAGAANATATTTCTACAAAAGG